TGAGAAGAATAAAGAAATTGAAGTGAGATATGTTCGATCTTGTGATAATGCTGCAGACCTCTTTACAAAGTCACTACCCACTACGACATTCAGAAAACATGTTTACAACATTGGAATGCGTCATCAACAAGAACTGTGAAGATCGTCTATTCGAGGGGGAGTTTCTAAATTGTACTCTTTTACCTTGCTATGGTTTTTCTCACCGAATTTTTCAAGAAAGGTTTTTAATGAGGCAACATGAAACACAGTGCAAAATATTAATGGTACTAGTATCCAAGGGGGAGTGTTGCAAAAGTCAAGCAAACTTTACGTATTGCTTTTGAAATGGATCCCATAACCATTAATGCTCACAGTAAAAATTGTTGGATATTTTGCCTATATAAGAACTTGTAGTACGATCAATTTTACTTGCCCCTCTCGAACTCTAATAACAATATCTCTTTTCTCTTTGGTATGCTTTCTTTCTTATCACTTACATACATATATAATATATTACGAGCACATATACATATACAAATATATATACAAAAACTAATACAACGTAAATAATATATAATCTAAATATAATTATAACAAGTTCGACATTTTCGTAAATATATTTAATTTTGTTAGCCCACTTCTTAAGGCCTATTACAATGGCCCATAACTTTTATGGCCTATACATTTTATGACGCCAGCTTTAAAGGTGCAAAGCTGCCATGGATTAGATAACAAGCGTGATTTTGTAGAATTACCAAAAAAAATTACTCCCCCCCAATTCTAGTAAGATACATGTTTTAGTATTTTCCCCGCATATTAAAAATTATAAAGTTTAAATTATCAATCTATTATTTTTTGTAGTGTACTGTTTTCCATAATTTTTAACCAATAAAATTTTAGTGTTTTAAAGTTTACAATTTAACATTAAATGATGTATTGAAAATGTGAAATATGTATTTTTTTTTAAAATAAATTATTTTCTCTAAAGCATGGTTTATATTGAAACGGAGGGAGGAATAATTAGTGTTTTAGAGAGAAGGGAAGAGAGATAGGAAGAGAAATGATTTTTTTTGTTAGTTAATTTACCTAACAATACTAACAATATTGTGTTGTCCAACAAAAGAAAAAACAATATTGCAACAGATTCCAGGGGAGACAGTGATGACACCAAATGTTTCTTTTTTTTTTTTTTTTTGAAAAAATGACACCAAATGTTGGTCTGAAGCTTTTGGATTATTCCAAATACTCTGGTCCTAATGACGCTTCAAATGCAAACTTGTTAACTTTGTTATCGCGTGTAGATTTACGAGACAGTATAGGTGTCCAGAAGTAATCCTTGGATCTAATCATCTAATCTAAATATACTACATTAAGAACTTTGGTAACGCGTGCACATGTTTTGAACTTGCCACTTGAGATGTTCTTACAATCCTCATAGTGGAGAGAACTATGATAGAGATGAGGTAACTGTGGTTAAATGTGTTTTTTTTTCCAGAAAAACACATTTATGTAGCTATATAGGCTCAGGCTGTTGCTTGTGACATTCATGTCGTGAAGCTTAATCCACTTTTTTGTGGTCTAACAGGATCATTTTGGCTTTGATGATGGAGTTTATTTATGTAGCTATATAGGCTCAGGCTGTTGCTTGTGACATTCATGTCGTGAAGCTTAATCCACTTTTTTGTGGTCTAACAGGATCATTTTGGCTTTGATGATGGAGTTTCTTAGGAATGATGCCACGCAAGGTGATAGAATCATTAGCCGGCACTACAAGGAAACATAATAATTTTTGACCAACATTCTGACCACCTAAACTGATCAAAAACATTTGTGACCACAAACCGACAATTTACTGATGATAAAACGATGTGGACAAAGAGTGGTCAGTAATTAGTGACGAAAAACGTTTGCTTAGAAACTGGTCACAAAATTATGACCAAATATTGACAAATAGAATATGGTCAAAAATGTGGTCAGAAGTTGATCAAAACGAAGTCACATTTTTTTTCAAAAACAGCCGTTCATGACCGTTTAGAAGTGGTCACAAAATGATCAAAATTTTGACTTTCAGCTTGTTCACAAACTAGCCGTTAAAGCACGAGCTCTATATAATCAATTCACCATTGCAGGCAATTCACAGAAACAAAGAAAACAACACACTGATAATGTCTTCAAATATCTCAAATTTTCGTTCTTGGATGAACAATCAATGGGATTCAAATGGACAGATTTCAAAAGAGTTTGCAGAAGGGCTTAAGGAATTTATGCGATTTGCTGCAAACCAAGATATTACTTTGAGAGGAGGTAAAATGTTTTGTCCTTGTATTCGTTGTGATAATAGTAAATTTATTCCCATAGAAAGAGTATGGAATCATTTGTATGAATGTGGATTTACTCCTAATTATAAAATTTGGTATTTACATGGAGAAGTTAATATAGGAAATATACCTAGTA